TTAGCAGACATTCACTGCGCCCCCCACCCCTTCCTGTTCGCGCTGTTGACTTGCGCTTGCCACACGATCCTGGAGGGATAGATATTGATAGAGGGCATGATGTCTGAGGCAGACCGTGGCTTCTGGTAAAGTTACATGACCCTTTGGTTTAAAGAAGACTCGGGAGATATTTTTGGTGTACGGTTTAAAGGTGATCTCTGGGTAGTAGTTTCAGGGTTCATCAAGACTTGGCTTTTCATCCTCACAGTGCCTTATGCTGGGCTTTCCCCCTAGTAGAGTTGTGTGACAGTGTGTATATGAGAGAGTGTGAGTGAGTGTGTGTGTGTGTGTAGAGGTGTGTGTGCATTGACCATGCCCAGTGGGAGCACTGTGGGCGGTGTCAGGAAACGGAATCAGGCTCATTTAGTTTCCTCCGGCTTGAACATGCCAAGGTCACTTTCCTGGATTTGGCTTTGTCACCTGTTTTCTGCACCCCCGGGTATGCAGACCATTTGGGATCTTATCAGTATTTTTGCAGTGTGTTCTCTGAAAGCCTCCCGATGCTGCTTCTAGAACTTGTTGTTCCTTCCCACCCCTTGGGAGATTGCACATGCTGTGACGATGAAGCTCCTCACCGCGTTCAATTGGAGCAGTCTGTTTATGTCTGTCGGGGACCCGAGTAGACTGTGAGGCTTTCCTGAGGAAGCAGCCCTGGGTTGTTCGTTTGTGTGTTTATTTCAGTGGCTCCGTCTGTATCGCCCTGCCCCAGTGGTGAGCGCATGGTGGAACTTCGGCAACTGCTTGCTGAGTGATGAAGTATGAGGAAGGGGTTGGCTTTCCTCCATTGTTTCTCCCGGATCTCGGTGTCTGAAAATCACTGACCTGCAAGTGAAAAAGTAAAAGTGTTCCCTTGGGTTCCCCCTGCAGGGGCTGATGCTGCTGAGGACGAGGAGGTGGACGTCACCAGTGTGGACCCCATCGCGGCCTTCTGTAGCAGGTGAGCCCACCCCGGGCGCTGAGCAGGGAGGCCTCCTCCCCGCTCAGTCTCTGGTAGCCAGTCCTGAGCCCCTGCCTTCCCTGCCTTCCCACCCGGCTTATCAGCCAAAGCGCTGGCTTCCTTCTCTCTCAAGAAGTATGTTTAGTTTCTGAATCCCATTTTCACTCTTTTCTCCTGCAGTAGAGAGTGTTAAGAAACAGAAATCACCCATTTGTACCATTTATTTTACTTTTGCTACTAATTTTATAAATTGTCCCTCCCCCCCTTTTTTTTAACCTCAACTTTATCTTATAGAGTATAAAGTCATGCTTGCTGCTAAGGTTAATACAGGTGATTCTTCGGGCCTCAAGGAAGGGTTCATGTTTAAGCAACTTTCTCCTCTTTTTTTGACCCCTGTCTGATCTGCTCCCACTAGTGATGAAGAGCTGGAAGATTCAAAGGCTCTGTTATATTTACCCATTGCCCCTGAGGTGGAAGACCCAGAAGAAAATCCTTACGGCCCCCCACCGGATGCAGTTCAGACCTCCTTGATGGACGAAGGGGCTAATTCAGAGAAGAAGAGACAGGCTTCAGCAGATGGGTCCCAGCCACCTAAGAAGAAACCCAAAACAACCATTATAGAGCTTCACGGAGTGCCAAACGATGGTAAGAGCCACGCTGCCTGCCTGTTGCTGGCAGATGCGGCGTTTGACTCTCCAGTGAGAGCCGATAATTTCATACTTGGATGATATTACCTTTTAAAACTAGATCCCGTTAGCTTTTTTTTTTTTTTTTTTAAATACCAGTAGTCCCAGATTATAAATGGTGCTGTTCCTAATCCTGTCTTTACCACACATTGCTATAGCACCCATGTCTTCCATGTGGCCTTCCCCAGGGCGAGTATCGAGCAGGGCCTGATGTAAGAATTGTTCTTAAATTGGAGCTAGGATTTAGTGCAAGCCCAAACCCCATTTCTGGATCTATGTTTTTTAATTTGCCTTTGGCCCCCTTTAGAGACTGCCTTGTTAACTTGTGGGAGAGCATCTTAGTGATCATCTCCCTGGGCATAAAGTCATTGACTAGCCCCTGGCACCAATTTTGTAAACACAGTTGAGGGGTCATTGCTCCTGTGTGGGCCAGCTCCATGTCGCCAGACCTGAGTTATTCTCTTGTACAGAATACATTCCTTTGTGGCTGGACACTATTACACAAACAATGGGAGTTGCTTGTCAGGGAAAATTAATAATACACGTCTTAATACAGCTTGTAGGGCACTGATGTAGTAAATCAATGATTGTCTGCCTACTGACAGTCCAGTACTATTGTACAGCTGTCTTCTGCTTCTTCAAACACCATGAATTTTCAATCTTAAGTCCTCAGGTTATAAGTGTGTTGTAGGTAGAGTCCAATTCACCTAGTAGAGTAGTTCACCTGGAGTTTCCACAGAGGGTCTCTCTGGTGCAGGCTTGGGAGCATGCTATGTGTCCTGAAGATCCAGGAGTCTATGCCCCAGTGTTCTATGGCACTTGACCTGGGTCCCCAGGATAAAAGAGCTCAATTCCTAAGGTAAACGTTTTAAACTAGCTTAGCTAAATGGTATTTAATTTGAAGGTGACTTCTGGGGTGTTTGGTTTAAGGCTCAAAATTTTTTTAGGGTAACAGATTTAGAGATTTATTCAGTCTCAGTTGGTCTAGTAAGTCTGGGTTCTGTAAGAAATGTGAAAAAAGAAGAAATGTGAAATTCTGTCCTGCAGTCTTTCCCTTCCCCTGATCTTTCACTCCTCCCCCTCCCAAAAAATATCAGGACTCTTTGAGTCAGTGGTAGCTGGGCACCATCTAGTGCTTCTGGAATCCCCTTCCTCTGCTGATCCAGGTGAATAGAGAACAACAGTTGTAAATTGAATTTGAAGACCCTAGACTCTACTCATCAACGTGGGGAGTACAGAAACCCTGCAAACCATTAGGCCAGTGGACTGAACCACCCACGCAGCCATAACCCTCAGCCTTCAAACCAAGATAACGAATTCCAAGAAGTGTGTAGTTGTACCTACGTAGTTCTAGAACCTGCTGCCTCTTGCTGTTGTTGTAAAATTCTGTGTAACACAACATTTACTGTTTTGCCCATTTTTATGTTGTACAACTTAGTGATACTAGTCAGGTTATAACCATTATCCTTAATTGATGCCAATTTTCCTAGCACAATAGATATAAACTTACTACTGCCTCTCTCTCCCCGCTCCCTGCTGGGGTAGTCACTAACAACATAAATTGTCTATAAATTATTATTTGATATAAGGAAGTTATACCATAGTTGTCTTTCTGAATTATATTTTTTAATCTGTCTTTAAAAAAACAACAACAACAAAAACCTTAAGTCCCATAGCTTTGCCCTCTCTCTCTCCACTTCCAAGAGCTTTAGGGTAAGTTGAATCTTTGGGTCCTCCATCTGTTTGGAATTCATTTTAAAAACAGGGTTCTCTGCCCTGTAGGACCTTGCCAAAGGTAATAGACATACTTTAAATCTTCTGACATCTGGCTCTGAGTTTGTCTTGTAAAGCCACCCCCCGCCCCGCAAAGAGTGTATTTGTTAGGTGGCAACGTAGGAGTCAGAAGTGGACAGCCTTTATTTTTCACCGGCTGACTGGAACCCTTACCCTGGCTTCCTGGGATGGGTCGGGTGAGCCGGGTGGGGTGTTCACATGGTTACTTGGCCCAGAATAACTGATTGAGCAGCTTCACTTGTCGTTGAGGCTGTCAGTTGGGTACTTCTGTGTAGTTTCTATAGCATTACTAATTTCCTGATCCCCCTGCAGGTCGCTCTGCTCTCCCTGTTTCATGGAGGAGAGACTTTCCCCTCTGAGACCTTATTGAGTTTGCCCCACAAGGTCTCACAGGAGCTGAGAGAGTCTTGGGTTTCCAGCGCCAGACCATCCCCTTTCTGCTCCCGTGTGTGTGTGTGTGTGTGTGTGTGTGTGTGTGTGTACCCGTGGGTGGCTCCAGCATCCATGTGTGTGTCAGCTGCCTTGGCACCTGTGCCATGTCTCGCTGTGCAGCGCTGCTCCAGGGTGTCTCCTTCGGTTAGTGCAGCGGGCGCCAGAGCCGCCTTCTTGGCAGTGCTCTGACTGCGCTGATGGCTCCCCACCGCGTTGTGTGCACCCCCACGTCTCTCTGTCCTTTTACAGAAGTCCACCCACTGCTGGGTGTGAAGGGGGATGGCAGATCCAAGAAGAAGCAAGCAGGCCGACCGAAAGGATCAAAAGGTAAAGAGAAAGAGTCTCCATTTAAACCGAAACTCTACAAAGGGGACAGAGGTTTGCCTCTGGAAGGATCAGCGAAGGGTAGAGTGCAGGCGGAGCTCAGCCAGCCCCTGACAGGTAAGGACACGTGGGCGCCGTCCGGCTTGCTTCGAGGCCTTGCTCTGTACAGCCCCTGATTCCGTCTAGCTGCACCGTGTCTGCTTTCTGTCCTCCTTTCCTCGGTGGCCTATGTCCTCAATAGTCAGCTGCTGCTAAGGGCACGCTAAACCGCCTTGGCATAATTTAGTGGCTCTTAACCTCCCGCCTTTAAGTAGGTTTATAGGGGTCTATGTTCTTCTGATGTTATATGGAAAATATCATGTAAGTATATTCTTCTGGGGAGCATGTCCACACTTCTCATCAGGTGTCCTATAAGGACCTGTGATCCCCCAAGGGGGAAGAACACCTGGTTGAATTCATTTCTTGGTCTGTAGTTGCTCTGCCCCACCCCCTCCCCTCAAATAAAAGAGCTAGATAATTGTCCAGAAGTAAAAGGCAGCTTCACACCGCTCTTGGTTGTGTGAGCACTGCAGCAGGCACTTCCGGGCCCTCTCTTCAGCGCGCTCTGGCCCCAGAGCAGCGACCTTGTCCGCAGTGCGTGTGCAAACAGGAACAAACCCAAGCTCACCGCCATCGAGTCATTTTTGACTCAGGACACTGTAGGGCAGGGTAGAACTCCCTGTGGGTTTCGGAGACTGTAACTCTTTAAAGATGGGGTGTGAAAGCCCCATCTTTTCCCAAGGAGCGGCTGCTGGTTTTGAACTGCTCACCTTGCGGTTAACAGCCCCACTCGTAACCACTGTGCCACCATGGCTCCTATGAAAGCATGAAGAGACTAGTAAGTAGAAACCTGGAGTAGCCATGTAGCATCTTAACACCCAAGCCTTTGGAAATTTAATAGTCAAGGTTTTTTCTTTTATATGATTGAGGGGTGTTTGGGGGTGGTGGTGTGGTGGAGAACAACTTCCCTTTCCTGTCGACTACTCATAGACCTAGGCTGTAAGTTATCTTCTTTGGAAAACAGTAATCATAAGAGTCTGTTTCTATGCAGATATTGTTGGACATGGGTTTTGTTTATATTAAACACGAAAGCATTGCTTTAGTGAATGCAATACTCAAGTTTTCTGTGACTAGACCAGTAGGCTCAGAAGCAGGTTTCTTTAAATACCAGTGGTTATATTTAGTATATTTGCTTGTTTTTTTCCACTTAAAAGTTTGAATTTACCTATGCTAACCCAAATGTGGTGATTTGTGTGCTAGAATGTGAAATAATTCTCTATTTCATTCTTAACTAGTCACTTCATCATTGTTTGTGAACATTTATTATCATCAGAGAAGCTGAAACAGACTCTGATCCACCGTGTTGATGGCTGCTCCTCCAGCTTGTTAGGTTTAGCGTTCGGTCTCCAGTAGGCCCTTACCACACCACGGGCACCACCATGCCCCCAGCAGCAGTGTTGCTTGTGCTCCATTGAGATCCGAGACCACTGCCACCCTTAGTCCCCGGAGACAAGGAGCCTCAGGGGCCAGTGAGCAGGTTCAGGGTTGGGCAGCAGTGTGAACCGCCCATCTCTACCTGCTCTGAGAGGGAAAAGTGAGGTTGTCTGCTCCCGTGAAGATGGATAGCCTCAGACACTCTAGGGAGCAGTCCTGCTCTGGCCCAGAGAGTCGCAATGGGTAGGAATCGGCTTGACAGCTATGTTTGTATATGTGGAAAATTAGCCTTGGAATCCGAGTCATTTCCCACAAAGATGTTTTGATCGATCCCTAACTAGGTGTCAATAAGAATGACCCGTCTGTAACCTACTTCTTACACAAGCTGACACCACCGCGAAGCCACACACTGTAAGGTTCAAATGGTTTCTCTGGCCCCAAGAGCTACCCTGTCAGCGACGTCCGTGGGCTCTGAAATGTGAGCAAGCGCAATCAGTGAATTCAGACACTAGCTCACAGTCGTCGAACTGCCTGCCAACCACGCTCTCTCTCATCGGTTGCTTTTCAACAGTTAAGTGCATGATCATGAAGCCTTTTAGAAGCGTTTCTTTTTTTAATCACATTTCCCTCTCTATTACAGTGATTTCAGCTCCAATTATAGTTGATGTGGCCACTATCAGTAACGTAATATCTCTGACATTATTTCCAAAATTGGGTATCTATTGAAGGCAATACAGAATCCTCTCCAGTTTTACAGCTGAGACAGCTGAGGTGTGACAAGTGTTTCTGAGCTGTGCTTTAAAAATGTTTAAATGAGAACCCAAATAAAAATGTTGGAAAAGTTTCTTGCCCCTAAAGATATGGGTCTTTTTATTCCCTAAAAGTCCCCAAGCACTTATACATACACTTGTTGCCATCGAGTCTCTTGCAACTTACAGGGCCCCAGAGGACAGATTGGCAGTGCCCAGGGAGGGCTTCTACAGCTGAAGTCTACAGAGACCGGCTACCACATCTTTCTCCTACACAGGGACAGTGCAAGTCTTAGGCAATGTGCCACAGAGCTCCTTATGAAACACACGCACTAGTATTACTAGCTTCATGACAGGCAGGAGGAACATTTGTGGTAAAGTTTTGAATTATATATAGGGTATGTTTTTTTAGTATTTGTACACATCAGCACTTCCAAGTTCCTTCTTGTCCAAGAGGATCTATATCTTGGGGCCTATTAGAAGTTTGTGCCTGCTTGGTTTGCTGACAAGGTTAAATACAGTATTGACTTCTCACTGAGGCTAGAACGTGTATCTTAGAAGAACAGGGAGTTTTATTTCATCATTTTTGTTAGACACTTAGTTACTTAGCCTGAAATGGAGGCAGCTTTTACCAGCATTAATCTTAAATGGGTTAGAGATAATTTTCACAGAACACGGCCAGAATAATGACTCATTTTCTGGCAATGGACAGACAAAACAACTGCCCAGATGGCTGCAGACATCCCACAGCTCCTGGCGGCATGCAGCGTGCCTTCCTCCCGCGAGCTGGGTGAGCTTCTTCCCCTGTTGTCAGTCTCCAGCTTTGGTTCCTTCCTTTCCCCATACGGGAATCACCCCCACAGAAGCAGCCAGCTCCAGTGCCACCTGGACTGAGGACCCGGGCCACTCACCGGGCCTCCTGTCCTCGTTTGGAGACTTCCTGAGAAAGTCCTTCAGACTGACTGCAGTGTAGTGTGGGTTTGGTGAAGACTGCGTGCTTGTGGGTGGGGTGGTGGATCACAGATCCCTCCCCAGACTCTCAGTTTCAGGGCAGCCCGCAGTGTTTCCCGTGGGAGAGTCAGTATTAAGACCAGCTTGTAGGACTGAAAGCAGGCGAAGAAAGGCTGGCCCTTGTTGCTGGCTTGTACCTGGTCTCCCAAGGCCAGAGGCAAGCTCTTTGGCATTGACTCTCCTTTTCCTTCATATCTCAGAGATTTTTAATAAAAGGCAGTATGTTGTAGCCATTGGAAATTTCCCACCAGATTTTTAAAAAACAAACAATCTAGCATGCCTGCGGCCTGAGTTTTTTTAATCCAGTCTGAACGTTGTACCTGTGTATCTCAGGCTTTGCACACATGTCCTCAACAGCCCCCTCGTCCCTCAGCCCCCCAGGGGAATCCCCGATTGTTTTTGCATTAGAATCAAATTGTCTGAAGCAGGGTCATCATCTGGGCAGGCTGCGTAGCTACTCAAGTTAGACGAGTGATCAGCCAGTGTTAGTATCTGCAGTTGAAGCTTGATTAGCCCTCCCCAAAGCTGTCCTAGTGCATTGTGTGTTGCAATGGGAGGTTATGCATTTCGAGAGAAGATTGGAAGACAACCACTTGAACAGTAATCTGGCCTTCTGGGATTGGGGGCTGCAGAACACTCCTCCCGATCGCTACTCCTGGGCCTTGGGTAGCGCCGAGTGCCTGAGCCCATGCCCAGGAAGACACTGGCTGTGATGAGTGGGGACCCGAGATCAGGGCTTTATGCAGTCAGCACCATCTATCAAATTCCACCCAGTTAGGGACCTCATCAGATGCTTGCCAGAACATAGTCCTCGGGAGACCAGAATCCCTTACTTTCCTCTTTGCCCTTGAGCCTCAAGGATTTCTCAAGAACTGGGGCCCCTGGCAGAAAGCATCGTTAGTAACAAGTGTGCCAGCGGTGTGGTCTGTCACACACAAGGTGTGAAGGCTGAGTCAGCTGCTGCATGTGGACTGGCACTGTGCAGGTCTCCTGGGCCTCCACCCCGTTGCACTCCGCCCCCGGCTCTGACCACCCTGCACTTAGTGAGGGACTCCCACGGAGCCTGCGCCATTCTACTTTTTACCTTTTTGTTGTTATTGTTGCTGTTAATAATTGTTTGTACCTCCTAAAATCAGATGATTGTTTAAATGTTCTTTCTCATTTTGAGGGATCTCCGCGACTAAGGTCATGGCTGAAAGTCATGACCTCCAGGCTTCTCTCAGGAAGGCTGAGATTGGACTGCTCTTGGGAAGGAACCCTTCATCATGAGCTGAATTGTTCTTAATGTCCCATTACTGGAACCCCACTGCCAGTGAATTGGTTCTAACCCTTAGCAGCCTTATGTAGGATTTCAGAGTATGTAAATCTTCCCAGGAGCAGACAGCCTCATCTTTCTTGTGCAGAGCAGCTGGTGGGCTTGAATCGCCTACCTCATGGTTGGTAGTGGTGCAGGCGCCTGTGGCCGTGGAGCGGTGCGGTGCCCGTGCGCATTGCCCCCTCCTTGCTAGTTCTGCGCACCACTGTCTTGCTCCCAGCCCTGCTTGCTGGTGCCTGAGCTCGCTCGTCACCCATCTGTCTGTCCGCCAGAATAGGGCAGCTGTGTAGCATGAACTGAGCTCAGGCCAGTGAGGGGACTTAGGAGCCATCTTGAGTGCCCATCATGAGTGCTCCTGGCGTGTAGGCCGGCCCCCCACACCGCCGTGCTCTAGGCCGCATGTCTCCGTGAGATGCTCATCTGAGCCCCCGTGGGAGCCGTCTGCAGAGAGAGCCTGCAAGTGCTCGGCTGTGTGCGGGGCCCTGGCAGCAGACACTTCCTCCCCAGATTTGTACAGAGATCAACGGTTATGTATGCACCTTCCGAGCAATGCACAAAGTAGGTTTCTGTTGCAGAAGTGCAGCAAGTGTCTGACTCAGCTGACAGTGTGAACGTCCGTCAGTTCACAGGCCGCCACCAATGTCCTTACTGGCCATAAGCTCAGCTTGAGTTTTCCTTCCTTTAAAAAGGCTTTTTAAACGGATACTCTCCTAGCTTGGGCACGTTTTCTTGTTTGTTTCCATTTTACCCTTCCTTAGCACACCTGGGAAGATTCTCTTCACCTTGTTTTCTCGTTGTGCCTCCTAGTTAATATTCCCAGCAGTCAGGTCAGGGGACCCTCAGAGGCTGAACCGCTGAGCTTCCTTGGAGCCCTGAGGGAAGCAGGCGCTCATTGGGTGGGACGATTGAGGAGTTTATGAGTTAGGGCTTAGATGTGAAATTGCAGCTCTCATGAACAGCTCGCTTTTTGGGTGGTGAGAAGATCCTGTGAGGAGGAGGGCCGGGAGCCCTCTGCGGGACAGTTTGGGCTAAGTCTAATACAGGAGAGTTGGAAAGGAGGGGTGCCGTAGATTTTCCTTTCCACGACGGCCTGCACTTCCGGACCATGAAGCATTTTTTGAGACCACCTAAGAGAATTAAATGGCCAGCAACCGAGAGACTGTGTGGCCCTCTTCTCTTTTTCATCTGCTCCTTTAGGACAGAGTATGGACTGAGGGGTTGGGCTTGGATTATTGGTGGATTCACTAAAGGGCAGTTGAGACTTAGAGTTGGTTTCCAAAGGGAGGGGGTGCTTAGCCCAGACACACTTGCCATGCACGATCCCCTTCCATCAAGTGTTCTGGTTTTGTACGCAGCTGATCCAGTGCGTGCTGAAGACCCTCTCTGTGTCCCATCTCTCCAGCAGGGGGAGCCATCTCAGAGCTGTTGTGAAGACCCTCGGAGTTCTTTGTCCTTCCTCCACTTTCGGCCGGTGGCGTCTGGACCCTGTGGTCAGTCATTTGAGACTGACTTTAATTTAAAACAAAGGCTCTGCTTCCCACCCAGGAGGGGGAAGGAGTGAATTTTATGTTTGAATGAAGATGCGAATTATGGAAGAAGAGCTTACGTCCCTGCCCTGCCCTTCCAAGCATAAGTCCACATAGGCTCTCAGGAACAAGGATGTGTGAAGACAGACGTCACATGGGCGTTTGGACTCATTTTAACGTAAGGTTGCTGGAGAAAAAGATACCTGTGGGTTTTACTCCCCTCCCCCAGTGTTGTGTCGCCGGTCACTGGCTGTCTCCTCTGCCACCGCCTCCGTGCCTGTCCTGGGGACTCGCTTCGCCCGCTCCCAGCCAGCGTCCCAGAAAAATACTTTGATGGCCTGTTTTCTTTCTTGAGGCGTTTTTAAACCTGCTCCTTTAGCAGGCCCCTCCTCTTTTTTCATCCTGTGTATAAAGGATGGACAATAAAAGAAAGTGCTCGAAAGATTTCAGGCTCCAGAAGGGAGGAAAGGTAAGGAGGCCCCTCTTCCTACCAGCTCCAGAAGCCAGGCTGGAGGAGCGCCAGGGGGGGAGCTGTTTTATTTTCTCCTGTTCCCTCCTTTTCATGTTTCCCTCCAGGATTTTGCTTGTTCTTACTAATCATGGCTCTTGAGGATCGTTACTTTCACCTGTCTCCAGCAAAGAATCACCAGTAGTTCATAGTGCGCTCTCTGTGCTGGCTGCCAGAGATGGAAAGCAAACCAAGGGGTCTCTTTCCTTCGTTTTTGTCCTTGGGGTGGGGGAGTCTGCCAGGACTGATTAAGACGCCCAGAATCACAGCAGCAGCACCGCAGTTCAAATCAAAGATGAACGTGATTTTCTTCTCCGTCTGTCACGGTTTCCTTCCTGGTCCGAGCTCTGCCCTCTGACATGTGCCAGTCCCCTTCCTTTCTGTGAAAGGTTGCTTTGTTTTCTCTCTCTCTTTGATTTTACTGCTCTTTAGCTAAAACGTAGCCAACTGGATGGACATGAACATGAGTTGGCTGAAACTCAGAAAGTCCACAGTAAAGAAAGCAGGTGGGGAAAGGGCTCACTGGCCCTTGCTAATAGAGCCTTGCTACAGCTGACCGGAAGTTGGCTGCCCTGGGTCATCAGTTTCCCAACATCTTCAAAGGGGAGTTTCAGCACCATACCCACTGTGAGCCTCCATCAGCTGCTTGGGGCTCCCACAGGGAGCTGAACAAGCTAATGAGTTCCGGGGTCTTAGCTAGAAACCAGGGTGGCACACAGACGTCAGTAAGCCCTGTGCCCTCACTTAGAAGCAGTACACTCTGTAGGTGAAAGACAGCTCTCTCGGAGGCCCTTGCAGAGTGGCGGTGCTCTCAGCGCTGCTGTGTGTTCCGCTAGTGCCCTTCTGTGGATGTCATATGAGTTGTATCGGGAGTAGAGATTGGGGGGTGGCTCGGTGTGCGCGGTTTGTTTTGCATATGTTATCCCCATCCCGTTTGCTCTACACTGTATGCTACAGTAATGTGCAAACCCTGTGATATAAGGGGTTCTGGCCTTCTTCCCTGATACAAGGGGTGTGGCGCAGTGGCCTGGCTTCCTGTTCCTGTACGAGCATCTGGATGTTCATGCCGCGGCCACCACCTAAACGAGCTACTAAGAAAACCGACTCCTGCCTTGTCAGACTGTCTCTGGCTGCAGCCTCTAATCCGAACTTATGCTTTGGGGCTTCTTTCTTTTCCCCCAGCTCCTAGGGCCTTCTGTCCATTTCAGTTTGAGTCTTGGGTTGTACAGTGTGTGTATGTTCTCGCCTCCCCTCAGGGCCCTCCCGCTCCCGTTGGATTTTAGTGTTCTGTAGTTTTGTACAAGATGAGACTTAGCCTTGGGTATTTCTTGCTGAAGCTTTCATGCTTTGTAAATAAACTTGTATGTTTATTAAAAAACGGGCGTCCGTGTTTGTTTGTAAGCATGGGTCAATGGTGGCCCTCCCGCCCACTTTGCTTTGTGCTGTGGGAAACATAGCTGATGGTGTGGCCAGCACGCTAGCTCTTCCCTGTCTGTGGATATACCCAGGGGGAAGGGGTAGAAGGTGGCCAGCTAGGCCAGGGTCTGTCTCTAGTCAAGGTTTTGAATAAATGATTGAAGCACCAATTTGGTGTTAACCAAAAAGACCCCACAGTCTCTCTTCAAATCCCTTAGCTCGAGAGGCTTGTATAAAAGCCACAGTGCTGAGCACCATAGGTTTACCAAGAAATGGATGGGGATAACAAAGGGGTATGCATCGTGGAAGACAAGACAGATAGATGACTGGGACACGCTGGCCTTGCATCACTATGTACACCGAAACACTGCATCAGCAAAATAAAATGAGGGCCCACAGATTGGGGGAATTTTTTTTTACCAGTGACACATTGGAAAAGAGTCTAGTTACCAAACTTAAGTCCATCAGTCAGATACTAGTCCATTGGTCACTCTTCAGACTCACGTGGCCACACGCAGTGATGCAGGAAGATCACAGGCCAGTGGGTGCAAAGTGGTGTGGCTCCAATGGCAGTGGAAGCATCACAGGGGTCTGGAAGCAAACAGGGCCAGCCAGCAGGAAGAGGTGGAGGTTCCCTGTGCCCTCTTTGAGAAGGCCACACCCACAAGGAGGCACCATCAGACTGTGACTTGATTGACAGGTTGAATTCCACTCTTACACTTCTATGTATCTTCAAGTGGACATGAAATTATGTCACTTCCACACGAGCCATCAGAGGGATGCAAACTAAAACCACAGTGAACTAGCACTTTACATCCTCAATGTAGCCCAACAAATGCTGGAAAGGATGTGGAGAGACTGGAACTCATACACTGTCGGTGTACTTGTAAATACATACAACCACGATGGACAACGATAAGGCGATACTGAAGCAACTGGGAATTGAAATTCCTTACGATCCAGCAGTAGGCCCCAAAGAGATAGGAGACACAATATGAGTGGATGCATGCTCTCTCCCCGTGCCGTGTTGATAACAGCACAGTTTACAATAGCAAGAAACCAGAGGCAGTCCAATGCCCAGCAGTGGGAGAATAGATGAAGGAACTATGGTGCAGACACGCAATGGAATACTATGCATCCCTGAAAAAACTGATGAAAGCAGGAAGCCCCGCGTGACATGGAAGGACCTGGAGACCATGATGTAGAGTGAAGTGAGTCCACTCCTATTAAGGAGAAACACCAAGTCAACACGTTGTAGGGTCAGTTCCCGATCAATGGGGTAGAGAGTCTGCCTGCCCATCATGAGCCATACATCACCCCCTTATGTGCATTTCATAAGAGCCACATTGGAAGATGTGTGCATCGACTGGGGCCACTCCAAGAAGGGGGAAAGGGAGGCGGCCATGCACTTGTTGCTGTGCAGCAGTGAGACAAGGCTGCAACGAGTTCACAGGAGTGAGAGGAGAAACTCAGTCGGAGGTCACGTGAAAACCAGCGGGGGAGGGGGGGGGCATCTGCACTTTGGAGGAGGCCCTGGGATTTCTGGTGGCGGTACGCAGGGTAAATGGGAGGAGCATCTGGAAGGGATGCCCAACAATAACTGTCAGGAACCTAAGGGGAGAACGAAACCTGTTTTATGTTCCTGGGTAGACACTCGGAATAAGTTTCTACCCAACCCTCGGTGAACCACGCATGGACTTAGCACAAGGGTGACCTTAGATGCTGGCCCTGGCTAAGTGGGTGTCCAGTGAAAGGGGACTCAGATCCCCCATATAGTTAATACTTCAATGTTTCCATATACAGTGAACCCTTGTTTATCGCGGTTAATCGGTTCTAGACCCTACCGTGATAAATGAAATTCACGAAGTAGAATTCCTTATTTGTAAATCAAATATTTTCGTAGTTAGAGCATAGAGGACATGAAAAAACACCCTTTAGTCACCATTACACTCGTATTACCCAATTTATTAAACGAAAAAGGGAAAATACAGTAAAACATTTTGGACGTTACAATTATCATTTATTATTTATTATATTATTTATGGCATCAAGCGTGTACAGTATGAGCCAATCAGTGGCAGTAATGACAGAGCATGCGCTGTTACGCAAAAACCGCGATAGAGTGAAGCCGCGGAAGTTGAAGCGCGAAGTGGCGAGGGCTCACTGTACATTAATCTTACCTTGTACAATGGTACAGGAAAATTCCCCTAGCTCCAATCCCATGCTCATTGTAAACAGCTCTGTCAACTAAGATAACAACCTGTACAAAGCAACATCTTGTGGATTGCACTCACAATGGCACTAGACTCGCCTAAACTCACATCAGCAGTACTTTAAGGCCTACGTCATTGGATAAATTATTGATGATATCAAAGCTATCACCTTATACCCTGGGGGGATGATCGACAATGTTTTTCCACACCACCCCCTTTTGTTTCTGTCTTTGTTCTTGGTTTTTGACTTTGTCATAATATGACTGCCAAAGTAAACCAGAGTTGTTTATATCCCGCAGACAAGCCAATGGATTCTGGGCTCCCACTGAACTCTAGCCCCAGCCAAGAACAGTTAGTTCTGATAACATGGCCCTGCTCATGACTCGCCTTTGTGAAGAGATCTCTGAAGATCAGGGAGCTACAGCAGTGTGGGGAAGAGAGCAGATGGTGATGAGCTAACAATTGGAACGGTGTCTGGGGTCTAAAAACCTGTTCTAAAAAAAGTGAGGCATCAACTAAGTCCACATGGAAGAAGCACACCAGCCTGTGTGCTTGTTAAAGATGACATTAACAAAATCCAAATAGGACAAAGGGAAAATTGTGAACACCCAATTTGTAGAAGGCTTTGGAGGATGGTGGGAACCCAACGTCCATCTGCAGAGTACCTAGTCAGGTGAAGCCTCTGGCAGATCCCCTCTGGCCACAGGCGAGGGACTCCTATCAGACAGAGGCTGTTGTAAACTTGACATGGTGGGTCACTCAATGGTGTAATAGGATATTGGGCCAGTTGACCTCCCTCTTGAACAACCTAAATTTGAACTGGGCTTAACTACCTCTCGCTTGTTCCATGATAGAAATTTCTTCTCTGGTTTTTAAAAATATTGTTGGTGGTGTTTTCTTCTTGACTCTTTCTATTTTTATTTTCATATTATTACTTTCTTCCTTCTGCCTCATCTTGCTTTTGTTTTTAATTGCTTATGCTCGGTTTCCCAGTGTGTGAAACAGAAGGACTGGGTGAATAGCGATCATAACCCATGGAAGGGTTTATCGGATGGGAGGGGGAGGGGGAGGGGGGAGCAAAAGAATGGGGGTTGGGGGGGATCACTAGAACTGATTGTGATGACGGATATGCAAACCTTTTTAAAAGTGACAACAATGGGGGTGGGTAATATGTGAATTTTATATGAAGAAAACTACTGAAAAAAGAAAAAAAAAGAAACCGAAGCTGACCTATAGCTACCGTGGGTGAAAGAGAAAGAGTTATTTAGTGGGGCATGGAGTTTATGTTAATGGTGGTAGAATAATTTGGAAAGGGATATCAATAATGGTTGCATGACCGAGTATAATCAATGACACTGAAATATACATGTAGAGGTTTTGAATTGGAGAATGTTTTGTCACATATTTTTCCCACAAGTTAAAAAAATTTAAGAGGGGAGGAGGAAGGGAGGGGGAGGGGAAAAACGGAAAATGAGCCGATTCTGGGAACCCAAGAGGAAAGCGAACTTTGGGAATAATGAGGGCAACAAATGTAGAGATATGCGTTACACAATTGATCTATGTATTGTGATGAATTGTATGAGCCCCAATAAATTGATTTTTAAAAAATTTAATAATTGTACTAATCATGAGTACAAGGAAGAAGAAAATGTGCTAAAATTAACTGTGGTAATGAATGTACAACTCTTCTTGATAGAAGTCTACTATTGAATTGTGTAATATGTGGAATGTCAATAAAACTATTAAAAGAACAAGAAATGAATGGGAGGAGGTTCCTATGTCCAAGGACCTCCCTCAGAAAGTAACATAACGGAGGGGAGAGGGGAAGGGAGGGGGTAAAATGAGGAGCTGATACCAACGGCTCAAGTAGAAAGCAAATGTTTTGAGAATGAGGATGGCAACAAATGTACAGTGCTTGACACAGTGGATGGATGGATGGTGATAAGAGTTGTACGAACCCCCGATAAAAAGTAACAGTGAGTTTGCTCTTAATGTGAAGACCTGTCCCCTAACAAATGTTTCATAAATGCCCTGTATGTATGTCTGGGGTTTAATCATCTCCAGCTCATAGCCTTTTCTAAGTGACTGAGAGTCCGTTGACATCACAGCTGCTGCTTAGCAACCAGCCCCAGCAAGCCATGAGAGCCTCCGTTCTGTAAAGGGGGTAGACAGAGAGTGACGGAGAATTAGGCACACTCTCTCTCCTCCAGGAGGCAGCTTCG